CAGGGCCACTAGCTCTTTTCCTGAAACAGCTTGACTAATTACATTTACCTCCTCAGAAATCATCGATGACTCCACATGGCCCATAAATTACAATTTACAATATATTGCTTCTACTGTTAACACTAGATTGTCTATGTCTGGGTCTAATATGTTGCGTGCAAAGGACATGGTTGAATCCTCTCTACTACAGTATCATAATAGTGATATGATGATGGTCATTTACTAGTTAATTGATGATCCTCTCACAGCTTATATTTCTAACATCAGCCCTCATGGGAGTTGGGAAGGTACTTTCTTGTCTTACTATCTGTACAACATAGCATAAGCTATACTCTGGGTCAGGTAACACCTGGATTCAAATGCCACCTCTACCATTCACCAGCCAAGACTGAATCTATGTATAAATCCCTTGGGATGTGTTTTCTGGTCTGTAAAATAGGGATGATGAAGCTAATAATTCTGACCATCATATGGTTGCTGTGGATTATAAATGGTCTTATGTAAAGCCCTTAGGGTAGAACCAGGCCTAGAGAAAGCACTGAATAGCTACTCTCTTTTCATGAGACCAAAATGTACTTTTTGTGAACATATATGGAAACAAGCTCAGTAGTAAAACAGTTACTGTTATTGGGGAGCCAGAGACTCACACTTTCAAATGATTTTGGTTAGCACCAATGTTGTTCCCCGTGTAAAGACAACAAAAACTTCCTTTCTAATTCCTCAGTCTAGTCTTCCACTACTCCTGAAATTACATGCAACCCAACATGATTTAATAAAAAAGGAAAATAGTAATTAAGCTGAATCAAACATTTTATATTTGTATGTTCTAACTGGACATTGAGTTGCACAAGCCAGAACTTTTTACTGAGGTTTGTTGTTGTTTTGTTTTTATAAGCATGTCCAGGAGGTGGTTCCTATACTACTACCTGGGACAACTTCTATACTGACAGGCCCTGTGGCTCACTTACACCTCTTCTTAAATGAAACACAAGGAACCAAACTGATGATGTCAAAAGAATAGATCACAAGTTCTCTGCAATAAACTGGGAAAAAGAAGGAATGCAAATCTTGAAGACATGCTGTGCATCCTACATGTAATCATCAACTCAGTATGAGAAAGTATTCCTACCTCTCCCCGCTAACACATTTTGCCATGTAATCCCAACATAGTTTATGTCATTCCCAGAATCCTTCGGGGTATACATTTGTGTATGTGTGCACATGCATGAGTGCACTCACAGGCACATTGCTCATGAACATAAATGGGAACAAAACAATTCCAAAATCACAACTATGACACAAAGTTCTTATTGACATCATTGAATGTCACTATGGAAGGGACCTTTGGCAAGCTTAAGAACATTTCTAACCAACTGCCTCACTCTTAAGGACAATTTCAACAAAAATTAGATTAGTAATAAAAAGCCAATTATCCTGTCTTTATGGAGAAAGGTACAGGAGAATTGTTAGGTTTTGAAATTTATTAATATTATTTTAGCCCTGGCTGGCATAGCTCAGTGGATTGAGCATGGGCTGCGAACCTGTATCACAGGTTCGATTCCCAGCCAGGGTACATGCCTGGGTTGCAGGCCATGGCCGCCAGCAACCGCACATTGATCTTTCTTTCTCTCTCTTTCTCTCTCTCTCTCTCTGGTTCGATTCCCAGAGGGTACATGCCTAGGTTGCAGGCCATGCCGCCAGCAACCGCACATTGATCTTTCTTTCTCTCTCTTTCTCTTTCTCTCTCTCTCTCTCCCTCCCTTCCTTCTCTAAAAATAAATAAATAAATAAAATCTTTAAAAAATATTATTTTAGTATTAGTGAACTAGCATTACCTAGCTACTACTTGAGTCCCAAATCTATTCTCTCTTGGAACATCTGGGCACTCCTTTCTCCTCATCTGCCACCACTCACACGGTACTTATCACATACCCTGCTGTATTCCTATTATGTGTGTGCATGGTTTGTCTCTCCCCTACCTGGAAAGGTCCAGGTGGCAGAGGCCCCTCTTGCCTTTCTTTCCTCCACTATGCCAAGCATGGAATATTGCGCATAGTAGGAACTCCAAAAAAACATGCCCATTGAAAGCTAAACAAAAACCTATCCTTTGTGTTAAAGACCCTTTGTGATCACAGCATCTGGGTTACCCATTACTTGATAAGTACAAGGGTACATGCAGGACTTCAACCAGAAGCCCTGTCAGCATAATATACCCACCAAAGCCCTTGAGGGAATATCAAATTATCTTAATTATGATCTAAAAAGACTGAGAGCACTTAAGAACATGGAGTATTCTTAAAGCCTGTTCAAACCTTTCGAAGGCAAGTGAAAGGCCCTCAGGAACAAAACCTTCAACTTGGGCTAAGCCTGAGGCTAGGTACCCAGACACTGTGACCCTGGACTTTTTGCATTTATATATCACCACCACCACCAGGGAAAAAGCCTGGCAATGAATTAGTTCAGACATAAGCTGAATACAAGTCATTGTAGTGACTATACTCCCCAAAATGGCCAAAATTTTCTGAGTGTAGCCCAGGGAAGACAAGGCTAATGTATGCATCTTGAGAGGCCAGGCCAATGGTAAAGATTACCCCTGTTTCTATACTGGCCGTCTAAAGGTATTTACTTGGGTCTGTCTGTGTTGTGACAGTGTCCTAGACTCAAATGAATGCCTCTAACACTCCACATTTTTGAGCCATTCAGTCATGCATTTTTGTTATTGTTGAAAGTGGTGCGAAATTGCACTGCATGAGCTAAAATCCTTGGTGGTCTTCCAAGGATTCCAGCTAAAAAGGCACTTCCTTTGTTCCTCAGGAGAATGCAGTCCAGTAGGTCATTCAAAAGGGGAAATAAAAGCAGCAGCCCTGGGAGGGAGATGAAGGACAAGACAAAAAGAATAAAATGTTTTGGGTGTGAGCACATTAGCTTCCATTTCCTGCTGCTCGTCACTAATAACTCTCCTATCTTTGGGGGGAAATATCCAGATGAACACGTGCAAAAATATTCCTCAGGTGTTTTCTGGACATCATATGACAATCAAAGGGAACACCTAGTAACAGCCATTGAGCACCCATCAAACTTCCTTTTCCCTGAGAAGCTGGCTAGGGAAGATACCCTGTGGCTGCAAGACTGCACAAAGTTGGAGAAAGTAGGGAGGGCCGTTTCACAACTTACTCCCCGAATGCCTCTAGTCCATCTGAAAGGCACATATTGTTTGCATGAGCAGAAGATGAAAACTTGTCACATTCCCATTAAGTGCATCACTGCATCTATCCCTTCAAAATGTGGGAATGACAACTGTAACCTTCACGCCAATCATCTCCGCTGGGCCAGGGCCCAAACCATGCAGGGCACAAAGACCCCAGGTCTGACCTGCAGAGCCCCCAAGCTTCAGTAACTGTTGGTTCACTTCACTTTTTCTGTCTGGGCGGGAGGAAGAGTGGAAAGAAAGAGGGCTTTTCAGGGCTATACAACCAATAAAATCGTGCCTCCATGAGGACATACTTGGGCTCCCAAGAAGACCAGCAGCTAAGACCAAACAGTTTCTGGTCAGTATAGTGTGTGAGTTATTTGATAACTGCAAAGGTGCAGTGGGCTTCTAGGTTGTACCAACAACTTCTGGGGTTCTATTTCTACACAGTTGCCAGTTACACTCTGAAAATGCCCAGCACCTTCCCTCAATTACCTTTGCAAGTTATATGTAATTGATGACTGCACTTAATCTACGAGGTTATTAATTGTCTTTCCAAAAAATGACCCTCAAGTCTTCCTAAACTAAACCGTTGGAAATGCCTGGTTGAAATTACAGTATTTCCTTTGCCAACTGCCGGCCCCCAGCCCGCCCCACCGAAGTGACCGACACCTAGAAGCAAAGGCGTACTCTGCTCACTTCCATGAAAGGTTCGGAATGGAGGTTTGGGCCCCAGGGCTCAAATCACTCACTTCAACGTTAAGTTACACTGGCCACCAGCCAGCTAGATTCGAGGTTCTTTCTGAACCCTCCAGGCGAACAGGCTACCTGCGCCGCCGCTGGCCTACGGGGCTGCACGCAACGGTTAGCCTCTGAGAAGGAGAGAGAGACAGGGATAGGACCGGTCCTACCACCTCAGCCGGCCTCGCAAGGAGAAATTTGAGGGCACCGGCTGGAAAGCTACCTCCCCGGCACTCCAAGCAAGGCTTTACCCCCACGAGCCCCCAAGCGCCGAAATCCGGTGAACTTTTTTTTCACAGGCTAAACAGTCCTATTTGCATAACCATCTCCTAGCAGAGACTCAGGTTTCCTGTAATCAGTCCTTTCAAAGGTTTGTAACTCAATGTGCAATTAACCCTTAAAATGAGGTGAGAAAAGAAAGGGGAGGAAATACCCTTTCTCGTCCAACACCTTCCGGAAAATAGAAGAGTTTCCAAAAGTCAGGTTTGAAGTCGTGGAGTCTTTTTTTAAAGGTGACTCCTAAAACCGCTGTATCTACTAGGACTAGTCCGTGTCAACGGTGGAAAAGAAATAGGGATAGGGTTTTTAAGTAATATCAATGAAACATCAATTCAAGTTCCACGTTTTGTGCTCGCCGGAATCTGGCAACCTCTAAAAGATCCTTCACCACCACCCCACTGGTGACCTCCACCCCCCAACCGGCTCTCTTCACCCACAAAACAAAGCGGGGGAACCCAGTAAGAAGTTCAACCCGGAAAGGGCGACGGAACGGGCGACGTGCACTCTGCGGACCAGAGTCCTCTGGGGCTTCCTAGGAATCCGGAGACTACAGGGGGCGAGGGAGCAAACAGCAGGAGTGGCACCGGGCAATTCTGCCGTGCCCGGCCACTTGCAGCGCCTCGGGGGCCGCGGCTCCACGGGAACCTTCTACGCTGACAGGGCTCGCTCTCTAGCTCTCCCTCTAGGCAACCTGCGTCCGGGGCGGGGGGCAGCGGCAGGACGCGGGGCTCCTGTGGCCCCTTCTCTGAGTACTGGTCTCGGCGCTTGTCCCTCAGGATATCCCACCTACCGTTAATCTCATGCGTGGGGGCATCGTTCTTGTTGAAGCCTTTTGACACGTAGAGACGTCGCACTTCCGAGCAACTTTTCGACTTGAGCTCGGCAGCCAACAACGCGGCGCTGAGTATGGCCAGGGTGCAGAGAAGCGCGGGCAAGCCAAACCGTGCCATGGTGCGGGCAGGACGGTAGCGCTCTCACCTTCGCGACGGGATGAAAAGTGGCGGGCGCGGACCCACGGGCTCACAAGTGAAGGGAGAGGGCGTGGGAGTTGGAGTAGGAGTTGGAGGAGGGGGAAAACGGCAAGAGGAGGAGACGCGGGACGAAAAGTGGAGCTGGGCCTCGCGCGTCAGGCAACGGTCCCCGGTGCCAGGCGCCCAGCCGAGAGAGAAGAAGAAGGAGGTTGTAGAGGCAGTGCGTAGCCCAAGGGAGCGAAGGCGTGGACGGGTAACTCGGAGCTCCGTGAGGACAGTGAGCGGGAACGACCTGGCCGGCCGACGGGACAGGGACGCGGGTAGGAAGGGAAAGGTGGCAGGCTCCGCGGGGACCGCGGAGGGTGTGAGCGGCGGCGGCTGGCGCTCCTTGCGCGCGGCTCGGGCTGCCGGGCGCTGCTCCGCTCTCCTGACTCCACTCGGCTTGCTCACTCTGCCCTCGGCCACACGGCTGTACCCTCCTCAGCTCCGCGGCTGATTGACTGGCCGGCGTGCACAGCGACGCACGGCAAACTTGGCCCTGCGGGCGGCACAGGGGGTGGGGGCGGGCGGCGGGGGGCGGGAGACAGGCGGGAGCTGGTAAGGTCGGGATAGGAGAAAACCTGGAAGCGGGGTTGGATCCGGAGTAGCTAAATCCACTTCCTAGGGGGCCGCACCGGGCGCGCGGTGCTCCCTCTAGAGACACGCCCCGCCGGGCTCCTCCTTCTTCCTCTCCTCTGGGAAGGCGGGGAGCCTGCCCACCGCCCCCCACCGTGGAGGAAAGGCTAACTTCTCTGGGATAAAGGCGCCAAGTCCCTGGGGTACCGAGCAGCTGGGGCCTAAAGCCCACGATCGAGTCCTAGGCCTTCTGCGCGCTGCCACCTGACCCGCTGCCTGTGGGTCAAAGCCCGGCGAAAACCCTCTAGCCTTGATATCTGCGCCTTTTCCCCCGCGCCCCCGCCCAGCTGCCTTGAGGACGCTCCTAACCACTTAGTACCTGGGTCAGGGGAAAACGCTGGTATTACTCGCATTGTTTCTCTTGCAAGTACCTCAAGGACTTGAGACTCAAAGCTAGCCCTAAAGCCTCCTCACCTGGCCTCTTCAAACCTGCGCAGCATCAAACCGCGCTCTTGGAAAACCACCTTGTTTGGAACCCTGGCTAGCATTTGTCTGCTTGCCTCCACCCCTCTCCACCATGCCTAATTCTGCTGAACCCTGGTTTTCTAAACCCTGAAGTGGGGATGAGGATCAACTGCGAGGCTATGAAACCAAGTTAGGGTTGATCTTAGAATCCTGGCCCAAACCAACCTTCTGCACATAGGGAAACAGGCCAAGAGAAGGGTAGCGACTTGCTAATAGCATGCAGCTAGAGGGTGGGGGGTCCAAAATCCGGATTCAGCTCTCGGGCCACAGGGAATAAAGGTAGCCAAAGATTCCCAATTCTTCTCTATTCTCACCACTCTGGTACCCAGTCTCCCTTTAGCCGTCAGAAAAATGGAAATGGGCGAGTCTTCTGTCCTTCCAAGCTTTGTCATATTCCATTAATGAGTGTTTCTGAAGCTCCCAGGGCTCCTTTAATGAAGGGAACTGTGCAGATTGGGAACTTGTCATTACAGTTGTTATTGTTACACTCTGCTTTAAGAGGTTGCAGTGAGAAGTGCATCAGACACCTCGGGAGCGTGCTGGGAACTGGGCAGATAAAAGGGGCTGGAACTTATTATTTGGCTAGACTCTCGATTCCCATAAAATTACATAGGGTGAAGATATGAACCATCATTACAATTATCATCCTCCTAGGGTTTGTTGAAACTTCCTCCACTGTTGTTTGCAAACCACGTTGACAAGGTTGGCTATGAAGAGATGTAGAAACTAGCATAGCTGTTGTTTTGAATGCCCACTGCAGGCTCTTCTACATTTTATTAGCTCTTGGAGATCACCAGCACAAACAGACAGATTGTGACCTGTCTATAAGTGGGACTTAGAATAGAATTTCTGTGGGTTGGCAGAACACTAACTCTAAGAGAAGGAAAGGAGTTTTTCTAAACATGCAAACTTAACGACAAATGAATTTCCAGCCATTTCCAATGGACTTTCAAATAGTACAGGTTTCCTTCAAACTGATAACCATCAAGTCCTCAAGGCATTGCTCTGGCTTAGCCCAGCACTTTTAACTTTCACTGATTGATGCATTTACTTAAACATGTTCTTTACCAAAGAGAATATAATCTGACACAAGCCCAAGATTAATATTAAAATAAAATCCAGTGACCATAAATGAGAAAAAGACACTTTCAAACCATGAAGCCCCAGTCAGAAAGCTTCTTTTCACACCAAGTCCAGGAGGAAGTCATTCCGGTCCTCCCAGTTTACTCCTGCTCTTTCTGTTCATGTATTATTAGCCAAAACTTGAGACTTTTCCACCAGAAACAGTAACCTCTGGCTAAGAACATATCTGGACAAGTCTGAACTTTACCACACAAAGGCAGGAACCCCAAGCTCTGCTCAGAGGCGGTTCCCACTTCAAAGCCTCCTTTCATTTAAATACAAACAGGGTGAACAACTGGCAATCTGCGAAACAAATACCATCCAGCTTCCCTTTTAGATGGCCTGTAGTTACACCTTCCCTCCCCCACCCCTCTCTAGCTCCTCTTCCAAAAAGGCTTCTTAGTAGAGATATACCCACTCAGTACAGTTTTGTGAACACCAAAAAAAAAAAAAAAAGGATTGGGGCTGCATGTAGAATGCAAGAATCAATTTCTCAGGATGATTAACTCTCATTTAGCACTTTTTTGCTTTTTTTATTGTGGTAAAATACATGAACATAAAATTTACCATTTTAATCATCTTAAAGTATACAATTCAGTGGCATTTAGCACGTTCACAATGGTGTGCAGCCATCACCACTCTCTAGGTTTGGAACATTTTCATCCTCCCAAAAGGAAACCTCATACCCAGTCAGCAATCAAAGTTCATCCCCTCCCCCCCACACTAATCTTTCTGTGTCTATATATTTGCCTATTCTGGACATTTTATATAAATTGAATCATTCAGTAAGTGAACTTTTGTGTATGGATTTTTTCACCCAGCATCATGCTTTTGAGATCTGTCCATGTGATAGCATGTATCAGTACTTTCTTTCTATGGATGAATAGTATTCCATTTTATGGATAGACCACTTTTGGTCACATAGTACTCTACAGTTTGCAAAGTGCTTCCAGGTGTACTCTCATGTGCTTAGAAAATTTTAATGTTTGGTTGTTTTTTTTGTTTGTTTGTTTGTTTGTTTTTAACGAATAAGCAAGCCCTGACCGGTGTGGCTTGGTTGGTTGGAGTGTCATCCCGTACACTGAAGAGTCACAGGTTCAGTTCCAGTTCAGGGTAAATACCTGGGTTGCGGGTTTGGGGTGCATACAAAGGCAACCAATTGATGTTTTTCTCTCATATCAATGATTCTCTCTCCTTTCCTCTCTCTCTAAAGTCAACGCAGCCGTGGCTGGTGTAGCTCAGTGGACTGAGCATGGGCCTGCGAACCAAAGGGTCATGGTTCATTCCCAGTCAGGACACTTACCTGGGTTGCAGGCCAAGTTCCCAGCACAGGGCACCTGAGAGGCAACCACACATTGAAGTTTCTCTCCCTCTCTCTCCTACCCTTCCCCTCTCTCTAAAAATAAATAAACTCTTTTAAAAAGAGAAAATAATTTCTCATATAAAAATAAATAAAAAATAAAGTCAGTGCCTATATCTTTGGATGAGGATTTTTTCAAAAATAGATAAGCAAATTGAGTCTTAGCTACCTTATGTGGCTTGTCCACAACCACAGGGCTCTTAAGTAGCTAAACCAAGACTGAAAAATGTAAGGTCTCTGACTAAATCCCATGCAGTTTTTCTTTGTTAGAAAACACAATTCTCTGGGTCACATTTAGGATCAGCAATGAATGTGCATCTGCCCAGATCTTATAAAAATGCCCCTGTTTCAAATTAATAAATTTCATTGAGGACATACTATTTGCCAGAAGCTGCTCAGACCTAGGAGGAAGATGTACAAGCCAAAAGGAATTTACAGTTTAATGTACTGTGTAAGACCTATATGTAAAGGCTTGCCTATGTATAATGCACTTATGATATAATTGGTTTTCCCAAGTGAGGTGTTTCCCCTGATGTGGCACTGAGGTACATTCACTGATGGGCAGACAGAACAAAGTAGGCCCTCACTACTGCTAACATCCAAGCCAAGAACTGCTTGAGTCAGGTCCTCTGTCTCAGCTATTGGGGCATTTCTCTTGGCCTGCTGGGGACTTACCTTAGTTGCCAAATATGGGGTGAGGAACAGAAATTACCTCCCCCCTTAGAATAAGTGGTTGTCTTGCAGCCCTCCAGTCTCTCCCCTCCTCAGCCCATCTGTGCCATAGCCATCAGAGTATGCCTTTCATAACATCACCTGAACAATGGCCTTCCCTCCTCCTCAGTACTCCATTGCTTCCATTGCTTTCCAGATCAACTTCCAAGTCATTCAATAGATCTGGATCCTTGCTATCAGGCCGTAGTCTATATTACCAGCTTTCTAACTGATCCTTCCCATTCTGTATCTTATACTCAGTCCCATAAGAACATGTCATCATTCTCCATCATGCCATGCCCTTCCTTGCAACCTTACCCTGACCATGTTAGGAACACCTTTCCATTCCTCTCCATCCCTTGGAAAACTTTGTATTCATCCATCAAGCCCTGGCTGATGTGGTTCTGTGGGTTGGGTGTCATCCCACAAACCGAAGGGTTGCTGGTTTGGTTCCCAGTTAGGGTACATGCCATGTGCCTGGATTGTGGGCCAGTAAACGTTTAAGTGTTCTGAACTACTCATTAATATTTAAAAATCAGGAGATTTCAACTCTGACCAGTTGGGCATTGTTCTGCAAAGCAAAAGGTCACATGTTTGATTTCTGGTTAGGAATTGATGTTTGTCTCTCACATTGAGATTTGTCTCCCTCT